CTCCAGAATAACAGCACAGAGCAATTTGCATCCTTTGACAATTCAAGCACCATGCCCCTAACCTTGACTAGAACATAGATGCTAATAAATTCAGTGTCTTAAAAATGTGAATTATAGTCATTTCACACTTTGTGGCAGCTTCATGCTGAAGAAATAGCTTAAAACTTAATTATAATGCTTGTCCCTTCATTAAGTGCAGATGACATTCCTCAGATAGATTTTTGCAATGACATCTGAGGAAAGGAGTTCAGAAACTTATTAGTTATTCATGATGGAGAATATTGACTGTGTACTGACTAAAGGAAAGTGTTGACACCCTTCTTAACATGATGCATCTGTCTATTAGTTTGTGCTTCTCCCTGTGGTCCTCATGGAAAGCTCTTTGGGAAATGAGGAAAACACCTTTCAGCCTTTGAGAGCAAATGTCTATAGAAAATGTGCTTGACAAGTGGGATTAAAATGGAAAGCAGGAGGCATCGGGCCTCTCTGGATTACCCACCCCGCAAATGACTGGGCTGCGCATCGAGGACCATTGGTGAGACACAACCATAATGGATTGGATACGTCCCTTTTTCGACACCTGAGGAGCTATTACAATGCATTCAGTCCTTCAGTGGCTCATTCTGAAGCTGGAAGTCAGTTCTTAGAGAAGGATGCATGGAAAGTTTGCCTCGTCATGTAATAATACTAGAGCTTGAGTCATGCAGTGACTAAATTAAGTGAACAGATAAAGCCACAGTCTTCCTCTCTTTGTGCAAGGTGTGATAGTCTTACAAAAAGAGAATTTTGCTACTTATTCTGATGACCTAGAATGCCTACGGAGTGAGGGCAGTAGAGCCCTAAGTGAGATCATGCAACATAAGAAAGCAGTTTCTAATTCTCTGAGGTGGTAAATTATCTCCCTTGATAGTCATGAGCTTCTCACCACTGAGAGGCTCAAGGTGAGGGGGACTGTCATACCAAGACTATTATAGAGGTGTATCATGCATCAGAAGGAGGGAAGATTTTAACTATATGCCCTTTCAGACCTGCTCTTACATCAAGATTCTAAGACTCAGGCTTCAAAGTACTGCTCATGGATCTGATTTTACCGGGGACCTCTCATTACATTTACATTCCTTTTAAAAGCTGTACTCAGGGGCGCCTGGATGGCTCAGATGGTTAAGCGTCTGCCTTTGGCTCAGGTCATGATCCCGGAGTCCTGGGATTGAGACCTGCATCAGGTTTCCTGCTCAGCCGGAAGCCTGCTTCTCCCTCTGGCCCTCTCTCTCTGTCTCTCATGAATAAATAAATAAAATCTTAAAAAAAAATAAAAGCTGTACTCAGTGATCTGACCTTGAATATAACGTTGAAGGACAGAGTCTGTGACCAGCATGGATTGATTCCCTTTTGTTTTTCCTTGTAATCTGGGTGTTTGGAGAACAGTTCAAATCCTTCAGATTCTTGCGGTGCTTTGTAAATTTCAAAGCACTTTCATAAGTACTCCAAAAACTCTCTAAAGTGGGACAGGAGGGCTTGGCCTCATCCCCCTTGTACAGATGAGGAGACTGGGGGGTTAATATATACCACCTCTCTCTTTGGCATAATGAAAAGACCCTCTCCTTTCTCAGATCTCACTGAGATTTTGAGGTGTTAGTCAGAGGGCAGCAGTACACAGTAAAGGTTGGGGCAGAACTCTAGAGCCGGACCGCTGGACCCCGGATCCTAGTTTTGTCACCCGCTAGGGTATGCCTCTGGACAAGGTTTTATAACCTCTATTTCAGTTCCCTCACTTGTGAACAGTAGGATAAGAACAGCACCAACCTCAGAAGGACTTGTGAGAACCAAATAGCATGACATATATGAATAACTTCAACCATTAACTAGAATGCAGGGCTCAGATATTAATTTCAGGGACTTTGGTGTTGAAGCAACGGATTTATGACCCATTCTTGATTATGGCCAAGAGATCTGTCCCATTGAGGGGATAATTTTGCTCTATCCTTTGCCTCCCATAGATAATGGTTAGCAGTGGGTTAATAGCTTATTTTGTACAATTCAATATAATCAAAACAATAAAAGTGTGAGGCAGTCAAATTGACCAATATTAATAGTGAACCTTAACCCAGCTTTTGAAGTTTTCTTAGAGCAAAGCCACTTGCCTTTTATATGAAGGCATGAGCGAGGCAAACCTTGTCCTAAGGAAAGGAAAACTGAGACTTTGCTCTACACAGACATGTTGAAGTGGTAAGCGTTGTGATTATGGGTGAAAAGATGAATGTTATAAGCATTTAGACCCCAAATAGCTTTTGAACTTTTTCTGAATTTAGTTGCAATATGGTGAGGGACGGGGGTGGAAGCATTGTTTAAAAAGGAAAAACAATAGCGCTTAAATATCAAAATGTTTTAAATCCACTAACTCCTGGGGCGCCTGGGGGGCTCAGTCAGTTAAGCTTCCGACTTGGGTTTCAGCTCAGGTCATGATCTTGGGGTCGTGAGGATCGAGCCCCCCCATGTAGGGGACTCTGCGCTCAGTGGGGAGTCTGAAATTCTCTCCCTCCCTCTCCTCTGCCCCTCCTCTCACAAGCACTTGCGCTCTCTCAAAAACAAAACAAACAAACAAACAAACAAATCCATTAACTCTCACACTATACTGACCAAAATACTCCCCCTCCTGGCTTCTTCAGCCATTTCTAGAAAGGAGACATAGGCTTGGACCAGCTTCCCTGGAGGACACACCAGACAGAAAATCCCAGAAACAAAAAGCCTCATCTGGGTACCTTTCATCCTGGTTGTCGAATGCCACCAGGAAACAGTGGCTCTCTCCGAACCCCAGCAGGGGAATGAAATGACACATGAAATCCTAATGAGGTTTCTTTCTTCATTTTTCACATCGATTCTTGTGTATCATCCTAGAGCTCACCCCTTTGTTTTTACATATATTCATAAAGGTTTTGCTCTTCCATTAAATTGTACCCTTCTGAGGTCTAGTGTTTCCTTCCCCCTGAAGGCCAGAATGGGTTCCTGTTTTACATATGGCTAACATGGATTGTTATCTCACCACTATAGTTACTCTCATTGAACACATGCCTCTTATGGGCAACCCATTGCCCAGCCAGATAGATGAACCTTCAAGATAGAGTGGGTGCTGTGGATTTTCTAGTCCAATTAATTTTCTTGGCTAATAATAGTTAGTTAGACACCCTGTGGCCATGAAAAGCAAACCTCAGCAGTAATTTTCAAAGGGCTGGCATCCCTTCACCAGACACTACTAATGAGGTCTAGCGGAGGAATAGCACACAGGTTGAAATGCTATTTCCATGTGTTTGCATTAAGTAAACACGAAGTCAGTTAAGCTTATGACTAAGCTTAGTAGCACTAAGATGGAGTTGAAGGGTATTAGCCGTGAGCAATGCTGATCCTTTGGTTCACCAACACTCCCATGTTCCAGTGGAAAAACTTGCTAAGATCTGGGGACACCGCCTATAAAGTAGGACAATGGGAAGTAGGCTTAGAGTGCCATTTCACAAGTTGAACCCATTCAGGAGTTTTTGAGATGACATTTGCTGCCAGAATCTGGACACTTCACTGGCTAGGGTTCTAGCTAGGCTATATAAATATAATAAACATAACCCGTATGAAATTGTTCCTTCTACAAATACTTGAATGCCTGCTGTGCATTGGACATAGGTGCCAGGGATATGATGATGACCAAGACAGGTATGGCCTTTGCCCTCATGGAGCTTATTTCTGGAAGGGGAGACCTTGAAGACCTAGACAAAGGGATCAGCATTTATGGAGCACATTCCTATGCCTAGTACCAGCCTAGTTCCTTTGTGTGTCTTATTTAATCTTCACATCAGAAGAAGCACCTCTGGGAGGAAGCTCTGTAATCATTCCCGTTTTCTGGACAAGGGACCAGAAACTCACAGAAGTTCAGGGTCTTGTACAAAGGTGTTCAGGGAGCCAGGAAAAACAATCTCACTTCGCCTGACTTTATACTCTTCCTGCTAAACCATACCACCATGCAAAAGGAATCTACTCTCTTGGCATGCCTGGGTAGCTCAGTCAGTTAAGTGCCCAACTCTTGGTTTTGGCTCGGGTCATGATCTCATGAGTTGTGGGATCAAGGCCTACATCAGTCTCCCCATTCAACAGGGAGTCTGCTGGAAGATTTTCTCCTGCTGCCTTTCTCCCCATTCTCTCTCTCAAGTAAATAAATAAATCTTTTTTTTTTTTTTTTAAGAAATCTGCTCTCAGCTAGGGGAAAAAAGGAATTTTGATGTCCATATTTCATTTCTTATACCTTCAATTGCATTTATTTAGTAAGGCTTTCAGATTTTCTGATCAGGAAAAGTAACTTGACACAGTACGAAAAACCAAAGGTTCAGCTTTCTGGCCATTGCCTCAGTGATAATCTGCTACAAGGGAGATGTCTATTACAAACACAACCCCTCTATGGAAAAAAATGCAGGAAGATACAGATCAACAAAATTTACTTTTCAGTCACAGCCAGCTAACCCTTGAGCTTTATCTCGGAATGGAGATTTGTTAGAGCTCACCAGCAAGCATAAAACAGCACTCTTCATGGCCTTTTGTTTCATGTAATTATTATTATTATTTTGTTCACTTATTCTTTGTCTGCCTTACCAGGTTGTAAACTCTAAAACAGTGATCCTCAGCCTTTGCCTAAGTGTTGGTATTGTTTAGAGCATGCCTGGTGATTCTAGAGTGTAGCCAAGGTTGAGCACTGAGTTCCCCACATTAGTGGATACTCAACAAATGCTTGCTGAATACGTGAGTAGGTGGAGAGAGGGAAGGATGGGTGAGTGAGTGAGTGAATGAAGAAACTAATAACCGTTATTGGAATTGAGTAAGTTCTTACAGTACCTATTAGATAATAGTTCACAGTTGATCTTACAACAGTTTCTACATACAACTGTCCCAAAAGAAAAAAAAAAATAGCCAGGGGTTTTAGATAAGTATATGAAAAAGGAAACAGCAAACTGCAGGGTGCTCACATCATCTAGAAGTGGAATTTACGTTGCCTTCCTTAATACTGCATTAATCCCCAGTCTTGGCACACTTCCATCTCCAAAGTGCAGACAGCCGTTACATCAAAGGTAATGGTTCATTATTATTTCTTCAGTGAATCATGTTTGTCTGAAGGAAGCAAAGATAACAAAGAGGAAATTATAGTTTGTGAGGGGTGATATGATTGCTTGCAAACCGAGCAGTAAAAGGGAAATGTATGCAAGCAATTGAGAATTCTTTCTCTGTCCTCCAAATGCAAAAACCGCGCAGAACAAGTAGTTTATGCCCTATTCGCATTTTAATTGGGGGTGGGAGAAAGACACGGAGGTATCTTCCACACCTGGGCAACCCACAATTCCTTGTGACAGCCTTGATCCCACCCCTGGATACTTCTGTGGAATGCCAGTGCCACATTGGGCGCACCAGGTTTTCTTGTAGCTCTTATTCATGTAAAAGTTGAAGCAAGTATGTGTATGTAATAGGGAGCAACGGAGAAAGCAGCATTTGTATGGATTTCAGTTGATGTACCTAGTACCACTTTGTCAATAGGCTCCTTGGAAGGCTGCTAAATTTATCCTGCCCTGTAATATCTGCTTATGAATGATTGTTACAAAAACTCTTTTTGACAGTTTGGGCAAAACGTAATGCCCGTCCTAAGGTCCTCTGCCAAGTTTCTTGATGACCTCCGATCACCTCTGATTTTGAACTTCTCTTCTGTGAATGTGTTTGGTTTAAGACTGAGTACCGCCAATAGACCATACATGACTTTTGTACAGGTTAGAAAAAGATGCCCCTTCCTCACAACAAATCCATATGTCAGAAAATTGTCATAATATGGTGATTTGTTTTCTTTAGAACAAAACACTTATTGCCATGTACTGGAAAATTACAAGTACATAAACCCATGATGCCTAAGATTTGAATTGCCCCCCCCACATATGCATACACGTGTCAACCTTGAGCAGTGCACGACCTGCACACCACATACTCTGAAAGGGCATCTCCCCATCTTACTCAAGTTTTCTGTGTCATAACACATTGATTTATATTTGGATCTCTGCATTTTTCATTTAATTTCCACCTAAAATACTACTCACACATGGCTCTGGTATGTACAGATTTTCCTGAAGTTTTAAAACAAAACACACTAAAATTCAGTAGTACATCAATATTCTTGTTCCCTGAAGTCCCCAGATCACATCTCCTGGCCTCGCTATCTTCATTCTACCTACTCGCTCCCTCTCTGTCTTTCTTTCTTTCTGCTCTGCTTTCTACTCCCCACCCCCAGCTGTCTGGATTCTGTCTGATGCCTATCAATTAGTTTAATGGTACTCTTGGTAACTCAAGTTCCCAGAGACCTGTGCCCTTGGGGTCTTGTCTTTCCCTCAAGCTTCATATCAAAGTATTTTCCCAAGCGAAGGAAATTCCTTCCCTAAGATAAATTCCAGAGCAAGGACTAAGATTTTTTTTTTTAACCTTGCCACACATATTTAATCGGGAATTAGGAGTTGTTCAGTATGCAGCTGGTTTCTACTTAGTAAGCATTCTGTAGGCTGTAAGTACGGAGGAACCATTCAGGGAGGAGAATTCATAAGGGTTGAAGATGCAGGTGGCTGATAGTGATTCCCAGGTCCACTCCTGTCATGTTATGAATGGGGAAGTCTAGGCCCAGAAAGAGAGAGCAGCCTGCCTTGAGCCCCACAGCGAAGCGGGGTGCTCAGTACTGGAAAGAAAATATCCTGATTTCCAGGCCTAGATAATTTTTGGTACTAGACTACCTCTTAAAACTTTTAATCCATACTTTATATTCTGCTGACATCCGGCCTGCTATCGTATTACAAGTACATATTAGAATCTTGACATTAGACTCAGACAGTCCTAAACCTGCCACTTATGACCAGGGACTTACCCTCTCTGGCTTTGTGTTTTCCCATTTGCAAAATGGGTGTGCTGATACCACTAAATGAGAAAATCCATGTTGAAAGGCACTCTTTGGGTTTCAGAAGGCTTTTAAGCATTTGAGAGTCCTGTACTTCATTCACCCAACCAAGTAAGCATATATTTACGAATGCTTAGATATTCAGAGTGCAAAGATGAATAAATCAGAGTCCCCAACTCAATGAATACATCACCTACTAAATGTGAAAGCCAGTTTTATAACAGGCTATGTAAAAGTTACCAAAACAACACAGATGGACAGACCTATGTCCTGAGTCTCCAAGATGAGTAAGAATTCACTGGAAAGAGGTGAGAGCCATCCGGCAGGGAGAGGTGGCAGCACTTGGCACAGCGTGGAGACGTGAAAGCGTTTGCATGGTAGGGGAGAAGTGTGCTGATAATGTCAACATTAGGAACAAGGAGCCATAGGAGAGTGCTGGAGAGGTACGTTAGGAATAGATGATGGAAAGAATTGAATGCCATGGTAATAAATTTGGATTTTTAACCTATAGATGATGGGGGAGAGCAAATATAATCATAAAACAAAAGAAGCACTACCATATTAATCACTGCAGTGATGTTTTTAATGTTTGACTGTTATCCATGTTCTTGATTTATTTCTCAATTTGGGATTACTGATGAAAAATATTCTAGTTCTAAGCTGTCCACCCGAAAATGGATTGCCTCAAATAAAGTAGCCAAACCAAATGCTGTCATAAGGATGAAAATATAATCTCAGCAGGCTTTTATTTAATTGAGGGCTTGCGTAATGAAGGAGTTCACTGTAGCTAAAATAACATGTTCCCTGCCACTGGATTTAATGAAAACCTGCTGTAAGTATATATAAAAAGAGTGAAAAGCTAGGTGCATTTTCTCTCTGTTACATCTCCCAGGCCTTTACTTACTAAGGATCAAATCTGACACATGTGGCCAATTTATTCGAGGATATGTAATTTTAAAAACAGAAAAGATAATTGGAAAATGTCAGTCAAAAACAGATGTCAGAAACAGATGCAGCACCACCGTTATAATGACATGAAACACCTAAGTTGTAAGTTTGTAGATCCTTCTCATTGAGAAATACAATGTTATGTTTTCTCAGGGGATGTGACGGGCAGCTGAAAATTTCTAAAATAAAATTTTGGAAGGCGTCTGCACAAGTGGACCCATCAGATAGCTTCCAGTATGGGCCAGTAAAGCAAGAAAGAATTCTGTGGCAAACATTTAAGCTGGGATCGTAAAAGAAACAAAAAATTGTTGACTTGTGCTTCACCCCTGTTCTCCAAAATTAAACAGCATAAATGCCAAAATCAAAAGGCCTAAATGCCAAAATCTTTTCAGCTTCTGCCAAAAAGGCAGTATCTTCAGGCTATACCATAGCTGCCTTAGCATTTCAACACAGTAACCAAGACATGGGTGTGGACTGTTAAAGTACAAGGCAGAAAACTAATTGGAAAGGGAGGAAGAAACCAGCATGTACAACTACGAAGAGAGACAGAGGACATCATTTGACCAGCAGGGGTCGGGTTCTCTGTGGTTTTGAGGGATTAGGGGTCAAGGACTGGGGGAAGCTTAGTTTTACACTTGACAGCGTTTAATGATTTGGGGCGCAGTATCAGTGCCAAGGGTCTCAAGAACGTTGACACAGAATGTACACACGCACGTGGTGGATTAATGGGTGTTTAAAGTCCTTCCCTTCCCTGTGCATCCTCCTCGCAGCACAACATTTCCATGGGTTTAACTCAATCCCCAAGAAGTCAAAAGGTATTAAAACAATTGACATATTTCAGTGCAGGAGGTAAGTGCCAAAGCCTGCAATAAAATATAGGAGGAAAAGGCACGATTCCACTTGTGTTTCTCTGATAGCAGGGGGCATAGACATCGGAATGCATGGCAGTCAAGCACAAGTCTCAAAAGCAGTTCTGCCCAGCATATAGAGATGTTTATACCTAGTAAGGGAACCACATGGGACAGTAAGGAAATATCTGAATATTTTCATTCTGTAAGTTTTTTTTTTCTTGTTCATGATTTTATTTTGTTTTTATCTGGGTTTTATACTCAGGTGGTCTTTACAATGTAAACTGTAGGGAATATTTTTGTTTCCTTTTTTATTGTTCTACATGTGAAAGGTTCTTAACATAGCTTGCATTCCATATTTTATGATTTTATTTTTTCATATCAAAGTTACTTCAAAAGAGAGTGCTCCTTTGAACACTCTGAAATGCAATTCTGAATGCTGCCTGCAACCTTGAATGAAGTCCCAAACAAAGCAGAAACAGGTTGTTTGGATTTTTTTCTTTTTTCTTTTTTCTCTCGATTATCAGTTTGCTTTATCATTTGAAAATTGGGGGGGGGGACCCAAAATAAAAAGCCTACTTCTTTCTTTTTTATTTTATTTTATTATGTTAATCACCATACATTACATCATTAGCTTTGGATGTAGTGTTCCGTGATTCATTCTATAAGGTTTTATTGACTCAATAAGCTATATAAGTTCATGAAACAGACACAGATCTTCCCATCGAAGAATTCATAGATTCCCTTCCTTTTTGCCTAATATAATTCCATACTGAGCTTAAGCATCACCTCTTTATACCCCACCCTGTGCCCTAAGCTTTTATAGCCCCACATTTCTCCTCCATAGCATTTACTTCTGTTTCCTCTTGCACATTCACTTTTAGGCATGTTTTATTCATCTTTGTATCCCTGGTGAGCCAAAAGCACCACGAAGGCAAGGCAACTTTCTTTACCAACAGTGTCTACCACAGTGCCAACACATAATAGTTGTTCACTAAATACTTGAATGCAAGATAAACAAATGAAGATTAATCAGAGCCAGTGGGTATTGTTAACCCTAAGAAAGGAGATGAGTAATCCTATAGACACAGTTATATTTTGCTAGATTCTAGAACCTCACACACTTCATCGTTCCTGATGTAGGTCCAGATGTCTTTACTCAACCAAAAAAACAACTCCCTGAGAATTTAACAAGAACAACAAAGCCAGCACTTATGAAACACCCAAACACCTGCACAATACTCTCAGCTTTGGACTCATACAGACCTGAGTTAAGACTCTGGCTGAGTCATGCAATCACGCTCATCATGCAATCTTCAACAAATCACCTAACCACTTGGATGCCTTACCTGTAAAAGAAAAATCATAATAGATTCATTTCATATTGCCTCTGTGAGGTTTGATATACAAACCGTAGGGCCAGCATAGAGAGACATTTAAAATAATAGAATACCCTAAACAGTGCAGCAAATTATAACTCACTGGTTTACCAGCTGATTGTCTCCTGCCAAAACTCTAAGTTCATAACCCAGGGACAAACTCCATTTTGTTTACTCCCCTGTGCTACTAAGCACAGGGCTGGCACATAGTAGGTGATTAATAAACACTGGGTGGATGGATGGATGAGTGGGGGGGGCTTGGGTGGATGAATGAACGAATGAGTAGATGAATGAAGTCCTTGGTAAGACATTACGAATTGCCAAACAATGGACTGGTTAGAGTAATTTATGGTCTACATTAGAGTAGTAGTTAAAACACTAGTTAGAGCACTTTATGGTCTTCACTAGAGTTCAGGCCATCAAGGGTGAGCACAAGAAAGGGAGAGGTAAGATAATGAAGTAAGAATGCAATGATAAGAAAGAAAGCATGACATGGTGGGCTTCCAAGTCCATGTGGTCATGGTCATGGTGCATACTTTTGATGGAGACTAAATAGTCTTTCATGCCCTGACCCATTGTGCTCTCCTGCACTATAGACTCCAGAAATGGTGAATTCTTTGCAGATTCTCAAATTCCTTTTCTTCCCACTGAGTCTTTGAATAGTCCTCTGCCTGGAACATTTCCGTATTCCCCCTTTGTATAACTGCTCTTTATTTTTTGAGTCTGAGTTTAGACATCATTTCCTCCTGTGTGGCTTCTCTGAACCCTCAAACTGGTTCCAGTCTTGAACAGAATCATAGCAGTTATTCTTCTGTGTCATGTGTCCATACTGAAATGTTCCTTTCCCCCTACCAGGCTGGGGAGAGACAGGGACAGTCCCTGCCTCGTTCACACCAGCCAGCCTCTAGGACATATTAATCATATTTACTGAACAAATACCATCATTCTAAGGTGTAAAGCCTAAAATAACATTCGGAATGTTCTAAGAGAAATTAGAAGGTTGGAGGTGGTTGGGGCTTAAAGTGGAATAACTTCAGTTTTTAGTTTTCTTTGAAGGAACAGAGAGTCAGATGAATGAAAATACCAGTAAGCAATAGAAGCCAAGGGCAGAAGCGAGAAGGCGGGGCTGCAGCGACGACATCTCCAGAGAAGAACAAAGGGTGAAAAAAGACATACATACGCTTAAAAGGAGCTGACAGAGGAGTTCCCTTACAGAAGCCAAAAAGGAAAAAAAAAAAATGTTTCTCAAAAGAGTAGAGATGGTCAAATCCTGCACATGGAATTTGAAAAAGCCGTTAAAGGAAAGGTCATGTGCTGAAGGAAGTGGGTGCTGGAACGGAGACCCCTGCTACCACGCCAGAGCTGGGAGAAGGCTCCAGAAGCTGGAACGGGCCGCTCGGCCAAGAGCAACTGTTAAGGAGACAACAGACTTCCGCCTGTGAACAGCACTGAAAATGGAGCGATGGAAGACAGTGGAGGAAACACGGAGGGAGGAGGGGTCTGAGCCAGCAAGTCATCGGTGTTCTTCTGCCTCCAAATCCTCTTTGTTCCTTCTCCTACTTCCTTGCGGGGAAGCAGAGTGAGGCATGTGGTCACATGGGATGCTTTTGTGGTTTCCCACCCATTTGAGCAAGCATGCTCTGGCATGGTTGAAGAGGAAAAGGCCATCAGCGCTCCTTATGAATATCTTTGCGCCTGGTTGGGTGTAGCTCCAAGGAATTTCGGTATTTCCCAGACTGCCAGCTCACTTGTGGGCTGCCTTGGAGCCCTCCTGTTTTCTTCCTGCATGCGCGCCTTGTCGAGAAGTTTATAGTACAGTTGGGAAGACAACGGGGATATTGTCATTGACTTCGGTGTCTCGGCGGGAACCAGTTTCCACCTTAGCTACTTAAGGAATGTTCACTGAAGTGAAGTCAAGCTGCACTGATGTTCTTTCATGCCACAAGGCTGGACTTTCACACACTTTCTTCTATGTGGGTGAAAAAACACTTTAGAAAGAAGATTACTCTTCCGTGAATTTGCTAAGACTAGTGCCTATGATCCACTAAGCACTGTATAAAACATTTCGTCTTTAAAACAATTCCAGGAGGTACCATTTTTATCCCCATTTCATTGATAAGGAAACTGAGACCTGGAGGAACTTACTAAGGTCATGGTTCAAGTAAATGGCTCAGCTGCCATTTGAACTCAGGCTTGTCTGAGTCCAAAGACAACTAGGCTAGACTGTGCCTTCTATGATCAGCTCTTCTCTCAGCATCTCCAGAAGGCACATACCCAGGGAAAATCAGGATTATGGCAATCTGCAAAAGCACTTTACTCCTACCTTTGTCCTCATTGGCCCACCAGCCCTGACAGAAGCCGGGGTGGTTGGTGTACTTAGCACAGACACTGCCTCGTTTGTCAGGAGATGCCTGATAGTCTTCTAGGCAGGCTAGTATGTTCTATACCAGCAGCCCTCAGCTGTCTTCATCCTTGAACAGGGTCCCTGCTGAACACGGAACAGCCACCATTCTTGACACAAAGCTTACCCAGTTGCTAACAGGTTTCTAAGTGTCCAGGGGGCAAAGCTCTACCTGCTCACTCAATTTCCTTTAGATTCACCGAGTGATATAAGCATGGTGCTTCAAGATCAACCAATTTAATTAACTTCTCTGAGTAAGTGGGGATGGCTTTTCTTGAATCTCTGCTCAGCTGTGCTTTAGGGAATTTTATAGGCAAAGCCAAAGCCACAAGGGAATTTGATCCGAAGGACTTCCCAGGGCCAGTCTTTAAAACTGACCATTTCTTCTTCTCATTGTGAATCCCTGTCAGGATTTTACAACTGTGGCTGTGATTTATTAATGTGTATGATTCCTTCTGGGGGCAGTCCCATTTTTAAAGCTATCCCAGGCTTCGAGCAGCTCTTTGTAGTGCCCGTCCATCAGAGGCACCTGCTCCAGCAGTCAGCGGCTCCAGATGCACTCACACCTCACCAGACAATGCAGCAGCCTCCTAGCACCTGGCACACAGAGGAATAATGGATTTAGAGAAACACATCCCTGTGACAAAGTGAGAAGGCAGATTAACAGAAAAGGCCGGGATGACCAGAGGCTGAGGAACCCAGAGACAAAATTCCAGGAAACTAACTCGCACGATGATAGCACTTTACGTGGCTGTAGCATCTTGACACGGCCCGCTCACCCCCTGCCTAGCAAGAGGAGTTGGCATTTGAGCAACCCGGGGATGGGGGTGCCGGTTAGAGTGGTTCTCAAGGACTGCAAGATGGCCTTAGCTCTGGACTGAGGCAATCTGGAAATCAGTAGAATTAAAAAGACATACATTCAAGTGGAAAAAACTTCCCTTGCTTCCCCATCTTTTCATTCCATGTTATTTTCTTTTCCTCTTTAAAAACCATTTAGCAAAGATCATGAAACAGAACAAAGAGGAAGGGGGCAGTGAGCTGTTTATTGGAGGTAGAAAATTCAACTTGTGCCAGCATCACGTCACTGAACCAAAGAGCTCTCTGAGACTCTCTTTCCTCAACTTTGAATGGACCCAAAATGTCACTGTTATCAAAGCTGCACGTTGAAGAAGACAGAGATGATGTGTCTGGTAAAACAGGCAGCCCCAGCCAGGAGAATATATGACCCTTCCATTCACTGACCCTCCTTTTCTTCTGCCTCAGTGTGTGTCATAAATCGCTATTTGCTGACAGGTGGTGCTGGTGTGAACTCAAGGCTGGTTCCAGCACAAGAGAAACATGCCAAGAAAACTAACTTCCCTTACTGCCAGTGACTGTAGGTCCTGCCCTTCCCAAGCTGATCACCGTTTTGCTGCCTGATGGAGGGAAGAAAGGTGATAACCATCATCATTACAAGACTAATTCCCAGATATGCATCTCAGCATATTAGTGACCAGGAGAGAGAGATTCAGCCAGTATAGGAAGCATGAACAATCCTGCTGGCATCTCCTCCCAGCCCTTCCTAGTGCCCCCAGCACGCACACATGCACACTTACTCATACACTCGCTGCCTTGCTGCAGAACATTTCAGACTTGAATTGTGTTGATAATTATTTTGAAATGTTTGCTAAGGTTAGCACATAGTGATATTTGGTGTTTAAATCTTTATTGAGTGACATAGCTCTCCTCAGGCTTCTTTGGGACAAAGTGACACACATTTATGGATCTCCTTCTATATGCAAAACATTATGGAATTCACAAAACTTGACATCCCAGCCTCTGTACCAAGGAAAGAAATTGTTCAGAAAGAGCAGTCACCGTACCAGAAAGGAATAGGATGGACAGACAAGATGTTCGGAAAGCTCAGACAAGGCAAGAAAATTTGGGGACAGAGTTGCACCAAAGGTGGCATTGGAGCTGGTCATGGAAAAGGGTGGGATTTGGTTCTCCAAGGAGAGGGAAGTAGGAAGCATCATCCCTGGATCATAAGAGAAGAGTGATACTGAAACAGTGAATGAGGTAGACACAATGAAAACCTGACCATCCAGACTGAGAATGTGGAGTTTCCTCCTCTCTTTTGGCAGCCAGATGATGTCATCAGAGCTGTTTCTGGAAAGCGTACTTCTACTTGATGTGTAGGAGACACTCAGAGTAGAGAAGCAGCAAGCAGGAAAGAGGGTGGGAAGATGATTCAAAACTCAAGAGATAATTCAAATCTGTTCTGTGTCTTAAACACAGAAATAGTCATCAGTGAAAGTCTGTTTATCCAAATAACCAGAACTATCTGGAAGAGGCACCAAACACTTGCTGTTATTTATGGCAGCTTGGAGAAGCAAACTGGATGTGGAATTTGGCTCATTGCTTGTAGTCATCTGTGATATCTTGGTAAAAGATTGCCAAAAGATCATCCCCTCTTTAATTGTATCAAACGGCAGTTATCATTCACAGAACATAATTTCTACATTTAAAAAATAGGGAATTTTGTACGGGTGCCTGCCTGGCTCAGTCAGTTAAGCATTCAACTCTTGATTT